AACTAAGAGTTTTGTGTGTGTGTTGGTGTGAGTGTGGTCAGTGGATAACGCTCTGCTGTATCCGTTTTCACCTTGCGCGCACTCAGGTACTCTTCACCGGTGTCACGGAAAAGAGTATTTTGGCGCGCTATTCGTCTAACAGTTGCCACGAAGAAAAATATTACAAATCGATGTACCTACCGTCAGAGTCGAAGAAGCTTCCTGGAGGTAGCCCTGTTCCTTCGACCAAGTGAACCATAAAACGGATATGCCGGAGATGGAAGCTGAGAATTCCAGCTGAATCTGCAGTGGTTATGCAGTTTCCCTCAGTGAAGCAAGAGTACAGTCTCTCGGATGAGTTTTCTGTAGATGATATTTGGCTAAGCATCCAAGAAGCGGAATTGCAGTAAGAGGACGACTCGGAGGAAAGTGGTAGGCATAGCAGGTAAATCAGGACAGATGCTGAAAAGGCTCCAAGAATCGAAAAGAAGCCTAGATGCGACCACGATAGAAGACAGTACATATGGACACGCGACGCGCAGATGATTGTCGTCTGAGATGTGGAAGAGACCCTAGGTGGCGTACTAGCCGGACTTTATTTTGGCGGGGGCCACTGGCAGCGGATGAGAAGCAAATGGTTGACTCATCAAGGCCCTGTAACCGTTTCGGACCGCCTACCGAAAGTATCCGGGTAGTCACCGCTCCCAGCGAGACCAGTTGACAAGCTTCAGTACCCTCTTACGAGATAACTTGTTTGCTACTATGGTATGCTCATCTAATGATCCAAGAGCATGTTTTAAGACAAGTTCAGATGTCCTCGCCGTTGGATCGAGACTTTGTTATTATACGCTGCCGAAGCCGGTCAAATATTCTATGCCAGAAATTGCGATGCCCACAATCTACCCTTCAAAGTCTACCCGACCTATCCGTTCTCTTAATTATTAAGCGGAGGTATTTTCATACTTCACAGCTACCGATGAATACATCGGAAGTTCCGCAGCACAATCATTGTCGAAAAGCAAAGCGGGAAGCCTTTCCGTCATCCGGCGAGGCGGAGTGTTACGGATATCCCAACCATAGACGGATTCAAGGCGCTTCCTGAGATGCTCCAAGGTGCTAGAAAGCTCCGCTGCGGAAGGGAAGCTGGATGGTTCTAGTGGTATTGCCCGGTTGTACTGGAAAAAGTGAGATACGAGATGAATGAGAGTGGAGACATAGTGCTCTTACCTTCGCCAAACATTTGGAATACCGTTGGGCATAGCGCTTGAAGACTGTTAAATGGTCATAGAATATTGCAGCATGTTCTCCGAGTTCCCGAATCTCATGCTCGTCTTTGGAAAGGAAGTCGTGGTGTGCTGTTGTCGATCTGCATCGGGGTTTTATGTTTAATACATCCTCGACGAGAATGCTTAGAATTGGACGGGAATCCCACCAAGGAATATTACGGTACGCTTCATCCACTCGAAGCATCTGGATGCCCAGCCCTTTCGCAACGGACTAACCATAAGCGTGAAAGTTGGTAAAGTAGTCAATGATAGGCTGCGTATCGGCCGAATAGCTTGATGATCATGCATTGAGTTTGTGGAATATCCTTTGGAGCGTTCAGTTCTGCCACTGTCTCCAGGTGTTCGATCGCGGCTTCAAACTGGGAAGGCAGACGCCGACATTCATTTGCGCCCAGAGGTGAATATTTACTCACGGAGCTAAGCACTGAGGACATGCTCAGTGGAAGAACGTCCTTGAGAGGAAAGTTGTATATCGACTACGTATTACGCGTCAGAATTTGCATAGTGTTTGAAGATCGGTAAGGAACTTCGCCTTTCCGTCTTCAAATTCGGCATATCTGGCTTGAGGGAAAAGCCCAAAGCTTGAAGCATCAAAATATACGCTGTGTTCGTGATTGGGCTATCAAAGATCAGAAGAGAAAATATACGTACAATCCATCGATATCAAAGAATGACCCGGGAGGTAAGCATGTCCCCTCGATCAAGTCCACCATGAAATGCGCACGCTGGAGGTGAATGTGGATGATAGCAGCTGACGTTGTGGAGTTGAGACAATTTTCTTCAGAAACGCAGGTAGGCTGAGAGAGGGACGAGTTACGATTCCAGGGTGTAGTATCCGCGGTGAAAAGATTACGGATCATCAGAGAGGCGGAGATGCAGTTCGAAGAAAAGACTGGTGGTATACATAGAAGAGCTATCATAAGTCATGCAGACAACCCTCCGAGAATGGCAAAGACTTCAGGGCAGCGAATTTGAGCCAGACTAAATGGTAATCTGCTCATGAAGAAAAACGCTGTTGGCGTCCCAAAGAGAATAAACAATGTTTTGGATAACACAGAAGACTAGAGGGATTTCTGTTGAGCTTGGTTCCTTATGAAAGAATCACAGAGAAAGGAATGTCCGTGATGGTTGTCAAAGTTGAACCGTGCACGTGGCAAGACGGACTGCTACAGATTTCGATCCGAAAGTCCGAATTGTTGGCTATTTGTCATCGTCGAGTTCTCCCATCGTCTCTTTTTTGTTCTAAATCCATCTCTATAGATAGCGATTGCCGTTCTGGAATTGCGAGATTGATTTTACATTACAGGAGATCATATTGACGTTGTCTCTATTGTTCTTGCATCGTGCTGATATCAGGGGAATATATTGCTTCTCGAACACATGGTGCTCGTACGATAAAACGACAGCAAAAAAAAAGCATAAAGACAGATAATGTAAAAAGCAATGTCCTAGGCCGGCGCCTCCCCAAGTTTCTGGATGTACGTCCGAATGGCCTTTCGAACGGCAACCGGAGAACTGTCCTCATCCTTATCTGGTACATTTGACGGTGAGATAGCATTGAGTTCCTTCTGATAATGCAGTTAGACATCAGATCCAATTGCAGGAAGAGCCGAACCTTCAGTTCTCCAGAAGCTGAGCCTATGTTTGCGCAGCAGGTTCCGATATCCATGAAATGCTCCTGGGCCTCATGAACATTGAATATGAGGAACATCATTCGCTCCTGATTCTCCTGTAGGCCCTTTGGAAACCCCATCAATGTCAGGAACCTTTGCACGTGTGTCTGATCCGTTTCGAGCAGATCGCTCTGATCTCGTAAAAAATGATCAAAATGATCGAGCTCATCGTTCAGCAGATGCGCGATGTTCATAGCTTCATTGACAGCCTTCTCCAGATTGTCAAGAGTAGAATCCACGGAGTCCTGACTTCTTTCCAGCTGCTTTCTCAAAGTTCTGTCGCGAGACAACGTTGGAAAAATCCAAATCGGGTCCAGAACATGCTCGAGATGGTTCATCTTGGAAAGAGTGTGCAATATTTAGGCAGGAATTATCAGCAGAGGAGATAAAACATGTACCTCTCTCAGAAAAGTGGCCTTTGTGTTCTGCCCGGCACGTCTTAATGCAATGAAGGCGCATTCTAGCTGGCGCGATAACTTGGCCAAGCTAGCAAACCGGTCTGAGGTGGCTTTTCGAAGGGAGACGGGTAGATGGTAATCGAATGCGGTTTTGCGAGACAGATCGCTGAAGGTTGCAGAGTTCTCACTAATGGCTTCTAGCATGGCACCCTTGGAGAGACTCTGAATATGACCATTCAGATTGAGAATCTCCCTGGCTTCATATTTGAGACGCGCTGTTAAATTTGTCGTATGGAAGAACAGCATTTTTGATCCGCCATCGGGAAGATAGGGCATCGCAAGGTCACAGTTGATCAGAGAACACTTGAAGCTGACCATGGGGGGTACGACTACGCTGAGCAGGCCGGTGAAACCTGCCGTCACACCAGCAATGCTGGCTTCAACGCCCAAGCCAATTCTTGAACAAGCGGTGCCAATGCCAGTACCAGCACCAGATACTAAGTCGCTGAGAGGCTTCAGGAGTTGGAAAATGAGGGTAGCCACGTAGCAAAGTAGGATTGTGGCGCCAATAATAATCCCGAGGTACACCAATTCATGAGCACTGGTGATAGACGCAATGGGTTGACGTCGACGGAGAATGGTAGTGGAATGGTCGTGAACCAAGGAAGCATTCTGATGATCGTTTTTTGATTCCGAGGATGCCTGAGGGCGAGCCATGATGTGAGGGAAGAAGCTGAACTGTCGCAATGTACTGGCAAGATACTTCAGCGAGGTTTATATTAGACACTGAATAGCATCTTGTGGGAGCTAGATCAGGCTGTCTAGTTACCTGAGAATTGTCTCCATGGTCTTCATGGGAATCTGTTACCATCCGCTCTGTGGGAGCTCTTGCAGATTTGTTCGCGACGTGTCAGTGCTTTGTCTCGAGTTCACGCGTTGCTATCGATTTACTCTTGCTTTGTACTTGTGCGCTTGTTGAGAAGGCCTTGTCGGGACTCGGACAGAGGGAACAACAAGGAGACCCTAAAAAGACACAAAAGACAACATGATGGTCTACTGATGAGATGAGATGAGGCGTCCGAGTCACATCACTGTGACAGACCAAACGACTATGAGAGGAACAACGCGAACAACCTTTGACTTGCTAACCACCATGTCATCCACAGCAGGAAAATTTGCAAAAGCAGAATCTCTGGCAGAAATCTATCCTGTCCTATCCATTTCCCTTCCATCGACTACTCCTACGTCTAGTACTCTTCCAGAGGCGCCTTCGCTCCATGCTCAGAGTGTGTGGGGCGCTCCCAAGATCTATCTGTCCTGGGCTCAAAATATTAGACGTCTCTGCTTCTTCGCATTTCTAGGTGGGATGTGTGCATTTGGCCTCATATCTCAGCTGTGTGCACCTTACTCTTCATCCTACTGTACATCCGTGGCAAGATGGCTTTCTTTTTCTCCCTTTCGTGCCAGTCAAATGTCTCAGGGTAGCTGCATTCTTCGCGGAGGCTGCCTGGACTCTGATATTGCTGCACGGACCATTCATTTGCACCTAAAGCATGCGCATTACATGGCGAGCCTGATAGAAGGAACCGGTTTACCCCCAATGCATTTCTTCAACTCCACACCGTATGTTTGGGCTATCTCAATTCTTGGGCAAGTACTTATTTGATATCTAGAGTCGGTCGGAACTTCGCAGATCATGGACTTTCGTACTACATCAATGACGACCCGAACCGAAAACGATTAATAGAAGATCTACCCCAGCTCTTTCGCCTCCGAGGGCTCATACATCGCCGGTACCATCCATATCTAATAAAACATTTCTATACCCATTTTGACACGAAACCTACGAGAGCAATGCATAAAGGAGTAAGGACTTCTTTTCGTTTCAAGTGTCTTTCTGTCTAACGTTCATCCAGTTTAGGGCAGCAATATCGGGACTATCAGCCGCCATCGAACGTGAAAAACAACTCTCCACGACTTCCCAACAGTGGCGCATCATAGAGATTGACAAAATCCTTCAAAAGACGCTCGATCGATTGTTCAGGCGGCTTCAAAACATGTTCAGACAACTCGCGGCGGATACTCCACCTTTTCTTGAACATATTTCCGCTTTCCATGCTTTGTCTCAGCGTATCTCCTCCGAGCTGGAATCAGAGATAGCTCGCGTTGAGATGGCTTACCACAAGATCCCGTGGTGGGATTCATATCCATTTGTTTGCATGTTTGCACATGGTATTTTAGGGATGAAACCCCAGCGCAGGATGTTCACCAAATACCACGAATTCTTATCCGCAGATGCGTCAGATATCCGCTACATTGTGGAACAGGTGGCTATCCTCCATGATCATCTAGAGATCCTGCAGCGATACTTCCTCTGGTACTCAGATGGCCCCATCATCATGGTAGGTTTTCGTTCCCTCATTTGTATTCACGCTCAGACTTTCTTTGCAGGACGATGTCGACGATGCTCCAGTTCCGACTCCAGCTGAGCTTTTCAAACTGGAGGATGAGCTTGTCGAACGACTACATGCAGGTTATTGGGCTAGGGAGTACGATTCTTTCCCGCCTCATCGATTAACGGCAACGTACCCGTCTTTACCTCTTAATCCTGATCATCCCTCCTCGCCGTCTCAGTGAAATGCTCTTCCTCTGTCTTGGTGTTAATATTTATCATCTTATGATACTATGTCGCCTTATTCCTTCCTTGTCATACCTTTTCGATGACCAGAACTGGTCTTCTGATCTCATATAATTCATATACCTCTTCACTTGTTGTTCAACGATCTGATTTCGCATGACGGATTAACCACTCTCATCGGAAGCTTCTCGCCTCTGGAAGACAGTCTACTCTGAATTCCTCGTAAGACAGTTGCCGTGGATATTTGATAAGTTATCCCGATGTGTAGTAAATCGATGACTCTATGGGGTAGTCGAACACTAGACAGCAGAGACCGGGCTTATTTGCAACGAGATCAAGGATCTTTGAACCCCGCTCGGACAGAAATGTGTAGCTCTCGGTCCTCGGAGAAGGGCCGCACAAATTTGGGACACGATATGGAGTCTTCCCATCGTTTGTTATCATCGCTTGTCTGCACTCTTGTCCAGGAGCTTTCGAGACTCATTAATCCGGAGTGTGAATCTCGGTGGGTGTAGTGACCTTTCGATCGTGCCTTTTCTTCGTTGTATTGTTTTTCTCGATACAGTATAGAGCGTGTCTGCCCCGGGGGCAGGTCTGGTGAAGACTTCCTCGAGCTATTAAATGAGTTGGTTAAAGAACGCTCCCAAAATGTGGTCGGGGTCGATCAGGCGCAGTTCACATCTAGGCGATTCCGGGGTTGGCGTCAGTAATAGCTTCTCGATATTAAAGGCCGATCCTCAATTCACGCGCGAATAAGCGAAATAGATATTCTTGCCATGGTCCTAAGGCATATTTACTCTTTGTTCTCTTTGAGCTCTGAAGTCTGTTTCTCGATATTGTTCATATCTAGCGCTGCATGAGCGCGTCCGGCATCTCGATTCTGGAAGTACAAAGTGGCGAGTGTCGCACAAACTGGAACGCCATGTCAAGAGTGGTAGTAACAAATAACTGATAAAACTTACTCATGACTATGGTGATGAAGATAGTAGTCACGTTTCCAACGAAGACACTAAAACCACGTCTTTGTCAGGACACAGGTAAGAGTGTTACGGAACGCACCGAGGCTGGTCTACTTGAGGAAATATGACACTGATAAGTAGCTCAGTCAATAAAAAAACCGATGGAGACAAGCGGAATAAACACATCGGAAGCCAGGCCTGAGGTAAACCCAATGAGCTCGGTAACCTCATACGACTCGGGAGGTACAAACCTCAAAAACGTATGCAACAGCGCTAGCACTGGCGACTACAAAGGCCCTCTCTGTTCAACATGGTGAGAAATCGTAACAGTCAACGAAACCCAATGGCTTACTCTCGTTATCGTAGCTAGTAAGCTCGTTTATCCAAGCAAAAATAACACCGGATAAGCCGTTGCAAACTTGGGTCTGTGAGACGAAGCAATGACAGAGTGTACATAACTGTGGTACAAGATTAACCCACCATATAATAGAATGCCCAGCGTCTGGGGATGTTTGTGTACAGAGACGTAGCTGCAAGCACGATGCAGACGATGATATTCCAAATCTGTAACACAGTGTGAGCATGATCTATTTTGTATGAACAAATCGCGCATACCCCAGCGGCAATAATTGGTGGCCATCTTTTTTCCACAGCGTCAGACCACCAGGCCCATGTCAAAGCTATAAACACGGGTCAACTTGGTCACTGATCAAAGGACGAGAAGCGCACTCATGATAATTTGTACAACATTAATACCCAAAGGATATATATTGATTTGACTGACCGTATATCTTGTTTTGCCTTCGGTGTTAAAGCTCTTGAGCCAGAATATCATTGAGGTCGCAGGCCCACGGTTGTTATTATACTACGACGGATGACTCAACGAGACCAGAGACGTAACGGAGATCAGAAGCTCACAAAAACGAAAACTAACGATAAGCGTCAGTTCGAATCATAGCTGCCACAACATTGCTACTGACGGGTAACAAGCATGTAAAGATGCCATGTCTTGAAAAAACCTAAGACCTGGATCGAGCCATTGGCGAGAGTACCAAGTCAAGCGAAACGGTCAATCATACTTTAGTTTTGGTGAACTTAGCAGGCGGTTTCCTTCCAATAAGCTCCATCCGTTTCCGGGCTATCGCAAGTTCTTTTTCGGTGAAAAAGACGGATGCCTTAGTATTATGCGGAAGATCTATGAAGGTTTTGGAAATGTGTACGGGGTGTGCTGTCCAAAGAGCACAGGGACACACCGGGCATTACGAGGAAGCCAAAAACGCTGATGGTAACCGTAATAATTCCATCGATGATGAAAAGCCCTGCACAACAGTCAGTAGCCGCGAAAGAACTTAGAGATGTGGGTGACGCACATCTCCAGCCAGCAAGACTGCGAACGCCATTTAAGCCATTATAGGCGGCCTGATGAGTATACACGTATGAAGGCGCCGATGGCCGTGAAGGCGAAAAAACCTACGGCCTGTAAGAAACCGCTGAATAATGGACCAAAACCAGCAGACGTCTGGCGATATTAATAGACAATCAGTTGGATCACCGTACCACGAGGTGGAGATCGTACATGAACTATACAAGTGCGCTTCGCCAGTTCCTCGCCCTTGTACCAACTACTAATCACATATGCTGTGCCGGGATAAAACGTTGATTCCGCCAAACCTGTGGCTCGAATTTAGTAGCCGGCCCAAACAGCCAAAAAGGAACGCATTTTCACCAATGAAAAACCGTAAGGCACAGATTTGGCTGAAATTTTTGCTAGTAGCCGTGACCATCGTGAGAACACCCCAGATAACTTCCATTGCGGGAATCTGACGCCCGATAAATGGTGTGTACCATGAATATAAGTTTCACGTACCCAAACGGATGGCCTGATTCTGGTTATGATAAGGCTAGAAGACGCTTATAGTGATCTGATGCAACTTGAGCGATTTGTTGCATACTTTGAAGGGATTTGTCCAATGACATAGCCGACTGTCCAAGAGGTTGTGATGAAGTTTAATTGATTTCCGTGTCTAGATGAAATCAGTATGCAGCAGGCATCTTCGTTCAGAGAGACCCCCACAAGTGTAGGCTGAGATAAACATGAGATTTTGAAGGTATAGAAAAAGTTAGGAGCGACGAACTCATCCTGCATTCCAGAAACATACTTTCAACCCTCGTAAGTTCGACCGGAGAGCTAAAACAATAATACGAGGGGACATACAGCATTCTGCGACGATATAAATCAAGGAGGACACTGGTCATCAGTCGCAATAAGCACCCACCGTCACGTTTTGCTGATCTAGATACGTGCTATACAGAGATGGGTAAGTCATCGAAGATACCAAGTCTTTGTAAAGACACTTATTTAGTGAAGTACGACAAAGTCGCATAGATCAGAAGACACGCGTCGAGCTTGGCAAGAAACTTTCTCTCTTCTGGAGGCTTGTCCCACGTGTCCCTAGCATACATTTGTCGGAGTCCGAGCCAAGCTTTCGTCAGGATGATCGATATTTACCAGATGAAGCAGTAGAAAGGTCGTTTCTTGGTATTCAATGATTCGGCAGACATTGTTCAGATGTCTTGACTCCTCCCAAGCCACTGCAGGAGAATACTTATCTCATTCCATCCGACGTGCTGGTATTTCAAGTATTTCTTCTTCCCTTTCTGAGCTCAGACAATCTCAGGCTCGCACACGCAACCTCCAATATTGCGGTGTTACTAACATAACGTCTTCCAAGAAGACGGCTACATCCTTCTATTCGAGAGAGAACATTGCGAGCACACACGGTGAGAAATCAGGAGGACAGGCGGCCGAATTTTTCTGAGTTTTGATTCTAACAATAGAGGTTTAGGAAGTCATGAGGATCGCGACGTGACGCGCAGCAAGCATACATGAGAATGCAGAAGGAAGGCACTGATCGGGAAACTTCGGAATCCGGTCGGACATCTGCTGGCGGTTCATCCTTAAATAACTTACTGCAATTACTTTCATGAGTTCCGCGAGTAGATATATATAATAAAGCCGGACTCGCCATGCTAACAGTTATTTTAGCAGAATCTTGGAGTCACGCGCTGAATCTACCACCGGACTCTTTGGTGACAGGCCATCGTAGCAGTCAATGAGTATCTGCTTAGCCTGAGGCTGCTTAGCTGTTTGGCATGAAGGCACGGTGAAAGATTTGATGTTCTTAATTGCTTCTAAATTGACGCTCTACGGGCAAGCCTTCTATTACGTTCAAATCCTTGTCTGACACTAATGTTTGCGAGAAAGCAAATGAGCACCTACTTGATTATCTATCTAGGTTCAAATTCTGCCTTCGTAACCAATTCGACAGCGGCAAAATCTGCCAGCCTCTGAAGTCCTCCATTTGCATGGTTCCGAATCTCCCGGACAGCCAGACGGCCATTTTTAGACCCTGACCAGCGATCATGGGACGTGGCTAATATCCCGCATTCTTGCGGCATCCTCGCTCTCGTATACAAGGATGATCTTTACGCTGATATTACGAAGACGGAGAGGCGATAAACATACTTCCGTGCGGAACAGACTCCAGAATGGGTAACGCGACTCCGGTTCCCGTATCGTAGCTTTGCGGACGTGGTAGATCAAGGACAGGACATCATTTCGCTGGTCATGAGGCAGCAGAACGTTATCTCAGAGCGGATGTAGTCTGTAATAAAATGGTAGGTAGCCACAAATTGATTGTTGTACTGTGAATAAAATAACACATAAATTGTCGACGCGTCTCTTCTTTTGCTGTCAAGACTGTAATAAGATCAGAATGGTCAGCATGAGCTCAAAGAAGAGATGTTAAACATACGCACCATTTTCAGTGCCCACTCTTTGGGCACCGTTCATGCCTGGGCCATTGTCCTCGACTTCGTCGTGCCGTTCCTTTCAAAAATTGGAACAGGTGCCGTGAATGTGTTGGAAAGAGCTGAATTTGGACACCTGATAATTGTAGATATTCACGCGAATACATGGAGAAATGTTCGGAAGGACTTTTTACCAGTTTGTCGGATACTCTTAACATAGTACTTCGAATCGTCCTATCAATCTTCGCGACGGACGTTCCCACAGGATACACATCTAAAATTGAAAGATCGAATTTAACACTCTGCACGATCTATTCTTAATATCTTATCACGCACTTGTAAACTGTGAGATAAAAGGTCACTTTACGACTTCAATAGATGCACAGCGGATAGTCACAAGTTGTCATGGGTTCATCCGCAGAACGAATCTGAAGCTGGCTGAAATAGGAAAATTCATGTCCGCACTTTGCACACTCATCTACGCCGGGATTAGGTGAGCTCGACTCGAAAACACCAAATGATGAATACCATACAAGCTGTTTTTGCACCACTGCTGAGCTCAGAAGAAACATCTCTCATATCGTCGACCTTTTTGGTATTCATTTGAGTTCTTGTCGTATGCTGAGATAAAGTAAGTGACGTGCGAGATTCGAGAAGGGTGACACCAACCTGTTTCGTAATCGGAAACTCGTATGGGCATGTTTGACAAACCCACTTATTTTTGCCATTGGATTTGCCAACGATGAGGATGTTTGCGCAGGAAGGACAGAAGAGCATGGCGGTGACTCAAGGAAGGACGAAGTTGTTGTGGCATATTTAGTTTTTAGTCTGTCTTACGTCCGAGATCCCAAATACGTCCGTCCCCGTCTCGTTGAGGATCCCACCAGTCCAGCTAGACTGGAATCTGTTCAGAGGTTGTGAGATAGATCTGTTGCCTTCTTTACAAATGCATCAAAAACGGGTTTCAACCAATCAGATGTGGATTAAATTGCGAAACTTGATTGGTGAATTCCTTTTAGTTATACCTCATACATGGAAGGAAAGGTAATGGCACCACATAGCCTCCACAAAAGATGTCGATAGGCATTCAAATAAGACGGTCATCGACCACGGATCTCCCAAAATGATAGGCCCGTAAAAACCGTTGTTGTCAAGTTACCACCGAAGAAGCCTCATAGTGGGCATCCCCCTCTATTAACACCCCAAGCCGAGTTTCTAAGTCAATGGCCTCGCATGAACCGTCCTACGACGAACAGGTGAGAGGTCTTGAGTCGCTGTAGTTGCTATACAGGTCGAAATTGTATATCCCTGGCAAATTTGATTAGAAGATGCGATAAAAGGCTGGTATCACGACATCGACCAATCAATGTACTGGACTGCGGTGAAACCACCTCCCATACCATCCCAGGTTTGGTTCTAGATGAAGAGGAATAGCTGGCCCAAACTCTCCAGGATATCAAAAGTGCATTATTCCTATGTCTGGGACACGTTATCCTCGGAACAGGCTATCGCTTTCGTCATGGAGGATGGGGAGTGCTATCATTGGAACAGCACTACAGAAGTTCTGTCGCGATTCGAAGGAGTATTCCCATGGTAAACGAGTTCTTCGCAACGGGATTGCGGGAAGCTGACGGGACTCCGTCTGGATGATGCGGACGCAGCTGTAGAAGAAGCAAACAGGCGAAGGTGAGGATGATATCAGAGGCCCTGCGGGGAAGGGAAATCCATGTCTCTGGGTGAGCACCTGAGTCACTAAGATGATGAAGGAGCAATGCCAAGCCCTATACATGGGTGCTGCTGTCTATGAAGCCCAGTCAGCATCTCCTGGGAAGGGAGGGCTAAAATGGAAGACCTTTAATCCTTGGTAATTGATTGGGTCACGGCTGGATACAAATGCACTCCAAATACGAAACTTTGTCGAGGATTCAGTCCTACGCCCTTTCGTCGGGATATCGGTCCATTCCCTCTAATTTCAGTTGCGCAACAATTGTATGATCATTTCATATTCCCGCCCAGTTTCTTTTCATTTGCACCTCAGTCTTTTACCACTACAATGAGTGAAGACTGAGGTGCATATCTTACTTACATTGCTACATATTAATTACTTATCTTACTGTTAGATTTGTTGTATTCTAACAAACCTGTCTGCAGCAACTATCCACCTCAGAGTACATCTGTGAATGGCACAAGAACTACAAGATCCCAAATCCCAATGTAAGCATATGGTCAAAAGAGAGTCAATACTGATTCAATGCCGACTATCATGCCTGTTCAAGCATGAAGGAAACAACAACATAGGAAGATTGGAGGGCATAAGTGAGTATGTTTTGAAAGAAGCAAGTCATGGGTCCCAGTGCTGGAGGATATCTGTGTGTATACCCTTATCCTCTCTTTTTGATCATGTTACTCATACCTACTTACCATATACATATGCAACTCCTGCCACTACTCAACTGCCTATATAGCCTAGCCATAAATACCTGTATACCTCAGTCATTTCACCTATGCTGTGTCTGACTGAGGTATGTATACTATTACTATGTCCTTTACTATATTACTCACCCTCATTCATGGAATATTACTTATATTCTTCCATCAGTAGATACAGCACTTATTCAATACAGTTGTTTCACCTATGCTGTGCCCAATGAAGAACATTACTTATATTCTTCCATCAATAGGTTATGGGTACTATTACCTAAAGTCTCAGTCAAGAAGAATATACAGCAAAGAGGATGACTCAACCTACCACTCCAACTACAATACCACCCCATACCACAGTCCTCTCACTACCATTATCACACTCTTAAAATGATGTCATCAATGCCAGGTGTCACAATCCTTCCAGACACAACTAGCCATTTCAATGAGAAGAACTACACTTCCCAGAAGCTACAGATAACTGAGTTGCTAAAAGAAGAAGGGTTATAGAAATACATTGAAAGAACCAGTACTCACCCCACCACCTCTGGAGGCTACCACACCCACACCCACAACTGTATCATTACCACCAGACCCACCCTCATCTATTCTTCCTCTCCATCCTATGATGAGTGGATTTTTCATACCAACTAGCCCACTCCCACATCATATTCAACATCCTTGACCCTATTGGACTAGATCAAAACAGATGGAACAGCAAAAGAATGCTGAGAATCTATTAGCACTGAGCATGCTAGAAAGACTGACATGACCCTGTCAGAGGCTGAAATGTCACTGAATTCCACAAGGTTCAATGGGAATAGTGATATAAATGCTCATGTTGCTGACTTATGCATAAAACAATGCACTGTTAATGATATTCATGCAAGTAGCTCTAAGTAACCAAGAGTTTAAAAGAATAATCATTCACTCTATCACTTTTACAGATCATTGGATGCCTATTCTCTCAAGTCTATATCAGATGGCTATGTCCAGTGACATCATTTCTCACCTCTAAACTCATACTATGACTCTTTATGCTGTGGGCAAAGGATCATCCCTATTCCAGGCTCTTGCAATCCCTTTCACTGGAACCCCTATACCTTCCCACAGGTGCTGCAATTCCAAGTGTAAGACCTGTGATAAGACCCAACACACCATGGAAAATTGTTATTGGCCTAGTAGAGAAAAGGAGGGCTAATTTCTCTCTAATTTTAGTTGCCTCCACCATGCAAATCAGGCCAGTATGAATAATTTGGCTAACACCATAAGACACTTCATCCCTGCCATACACCCACCATCAAGGTTGAATGTGATGCTGATACCATTATTGTCAAGAATGATAGCACTGGAAAAAGAATATGTGAGTGGAATAGTACCAGATTATTTTGGCAATGGGACAAATCTGATAGTGACTCAGAGACCATGTCCAGCAATGAATTCTCAGATCAGAGTTCTGCTTCTGATAGTGAGACAGCTATCACTGACTACATGGATCTGGAGAATGAGATAGACCTAAATATGCTGCCACTTATAGATGTTGAAGATGAGGATAATGTAGTAGATGATGATACACTGCCTCCTGTTGATATTGTTCTCTACATGAATGGCCTTGAAGGAATTGCTCAATTCACCTGTGAAACTGACTCTGCTGGAACTGCTTTTATAATAACTACATTCAAAGGATGCTCACCTTCTGTAATCTTAACATTTATAAACTCTGAAGCCAGTTACTATTTCTTTCACAATCATGAGAACTTTGCTGAGTATATGCTGGTTGCATTTCATACTAGTTTATCTGCCATTGATGAGCCTCTAGACTCTATGTGCTCTGAAATTGTGGGCCTCAATATTTATTTTAGACTTCTGCTCTTAGATAGGCTTTTAGTAAACCAATCATTCTGAATTCAACAAAAGTAATTTCATCACAAAATTTTCATTATTAGTGAACTTTTTCTTTTATGCAAAGATTGTATGTTGCATGCAAATTTTCCTATAGTTTGTAAACTTTTTCTTTTTAACTCTCATAGCATGCAAACTTTCTCTTTAATAATAGACACCATAGACATGGCCAGGCACTATGATATCTGATCATATATGATATACATCATTATTAGTATCCATGTGGCACTCTAATACAGTCCACAAGGCTGGCTGCAGATGTCTAAGCTTTTTACAGCTAGCATATGGAAGACTAATAGGCTGCAAAAGACTAACCATGCAGTTGGTTAGATATTTGTAAGGAATATTAGGAGGACTAGCATACTATTAGCTATGTGAACTTTTAAATATGCCATGCTTAATACAAGCCTCACAGCCTTGAAGGCTTCATGTAATAAAAAGTTTGCTATGCTCACTAAGCTTAGGATTACAGTTACAAATGCTGTTTAATGTAGTATACTTAAAATTAGTAGGAGAGAAGTATAAGTAGGGTATCACACTAGAAAAAGAAGACTAGGTTACACTTTAGAGACAAGCCATACTAAGCCTACTTGACACCCACACTAGCTTATACACTTATATAAACACTTCACCAATAAAACCAGTTACATAGATTGCATATAGATCAATATCCTTCAACAGAGAGTGCTATAGCATCTCAACAAACTTGCATTTCATGGAGAGTCTTACACATAGCACCAGTGAACTATTAAATCCACAAAGTATTGCTTTATCTTGCTTTCTTTCTAAAAACACAGAAGGAATCCATGGTCCTTGTATATCATCCTCACATCTCTCAGACATAATTAAAAGACAGTGAAGGGTAACTGTAGATAGAATTTCATATCTTTTAAACTGACACTATAGTCTACTGGCCTTGCTCTAAAGAATGACACTAACCATTCTCTCTAGACACCACCAAGATTATATATAGGTTTCTGACATCAAAAGTTCATGCTGCAAATAGATTGCACCATCTAAAATTCAGATAGCTATATGGCATTCCTGACATAGAAAAGTTCATGTGCATACTTTAACTCTCTGGTTATAGTTTCAAAAAGTCATAACATCTGTAGCTATTCTCTGCTACACCCTTTTGGAGATTAGTCACTATACAGAGGTATACAACTAGACTTGCTCAAACCAGCCTTCAGATTCTGTGCTTTGGTTTCACTTACCATTATATGTTTTGTGTTTCCTGCCTATAGAGAGTCTACCTAACAGCTTTCTGGTTTATTACTATTGAAGAGAAGAGAACTTTTATGATCCTTAGTTAGAGGACAGTGACAAAGATGTTTCAGCTCAATGAGAAAGACATCAAGCTAATTTTCAAAAACACATTACACTCACTTTCATTGGCAGCAAATACCTCATGTCTGTAAGTGCTCTAAACAAAGTCAGATTGTTGACTATATTTTCC